GGTTAATACACACACTCCTCCTGCACACTACTGTATGCTGACACTACAGGTGATACAGTTAGAGGGTGAGACGGGCTGTTTACCGGAGATACGCCCTTCCAAAGACCCAGCAGTTTCTCCGTGCGGATCACATTGAGGAATACCGTTACCATCCCAACACGTGACCTGCGAATCACCGAGAGAGATGAGCTCTAGAGATGTCCTACGGTAGACAGTATTAGTATACAGGGCTTCAGCTCTGTTAAACTGGAGTGAGCTGAGCTCAGGTGTTTTTCACCTGTCTGGAATTTACTGGTATCTACTCCAGTCTACTGTACTGTGCCGCGCGGGACATTACCCATGCTGTACGGAGCTCTGGAGGGTCTGCAGCCGGGTCTTGACGAGGTCGAGGGGCTGGAAGAGCAGAGTGGAGCAGGTCCCACTCAGGGAGCCACACATGAAGGCCTTCAGCACCGGGTGAGCCTGCGAGGGGAGGGAGGGGTTAATCTCCAGAGACAAGAGAGTCTTCTCCGGCCCCACACTCACGCCTGATGCTGATGTGCAGAGACACCCCACACTGAGTCATCAGGGCAATGCCCACTGACCGAGAGCACACACACACTGCACACTGACAGAGAGCACACACACACTGCACACTGACAGAGAGCACACACACACACTGCACTCTCAACGAGCGCGCACACACACACACACACACACACACACACACACTGCCCACAAAGAGCACACACACACTCCCAACTGACAGAGGGCACGCATGCACAAACACACTGCACTCTCAACAAGAGCACACACACACACTGCCCACTGACAGAGGGCACACACACACTGCCCACTGACAGAGGGCACACACACACATGCACGCACACACTGCACACTGACAGAGCGCACACACACTGCCCAATGACAGAGGGCACGCACGCACACACACACTGCCCACTGACAGAGGGCACACACGTACGCACTGCACACTGACAAGAGAGCACGCACACACTGCACACTGACAGAGCGCACACACACTGCCCACTGACAGAGGGCACGCACGCACGCACACACACACTGCCCATTCACAGAGCGCACACACACCGCAGTCGAGCTTCATTCACTCTGCCTGGCTGTCGTCACAGACACACTGAGACACACAGCCCTTCAGCCACAGCACACAGGTACCAGATCCACACGCCACTCAGACACTGAATCCACTCGGCTCTCCTGCCTTCTCCAGTCTGCACTGCTCCGGGCACGGGTCTGCCGACATCCCTGCCCGCCCCTCTGCTACACACAGCCTCTGGATCAGCGCTCTGCCTCCATCGCGTCTCTCTCCCACAATGCACCGACCCCGCACCCCCCCCTCCACACTAATCCCGGCGATTCCATGGCTCCGACAGCGCCAGAGCTCCCAGTCCTCCCTCTCTCCTGCAGCCCATCCCAGACTCTAGTCCACACCCCCTGGGTTCGGGTCAGAACCCGGCCTCACACTGCCACAGGGGGC